GAGGCTGCCACTCGAGAACCTTTCTTCCCCATCGGTTGTCGGTTCTTCGAGCTATATGGCCGGCCCATTGCCACTTCAGCTTACTAATCCGTTGGGCTATGTCGGTTACTCTGGTTCTACTGCGGATATCCTCATTCCTAAGTTTATCACGCAGAGAAACTCCGAGCATAGCCCTCTCCATAGCTCGCTGAGCGACCTTGAGCTTCCTCATCCGGCCAGCAGTGAAGGACCACGTCTCAGTTCCGTATGTCAGCACTGGCAACACGCACTGGGTGTACAGTCTCGTTTTCAAGGTTTGAGGTATACCTGACAAGAAGATGTGCCGTAATTTCCCGAACGCTGCCCAACCGAGTTGAATCCGTCGATTGACCTCTCGGTCGAAGTTGGACTTACCTAATCGGACTATTTGTCCCAGGTAAACATACTCGTCAACAACTTCGAGCTTAGTGTTCCCAACAACTACCGGCATAGGTGTGACATGGACATTAAACATGATCTTTGTTTTGTCCATGTTCATCTTAAGACCTATCCGTTGGGAAACACTATTGAGGTCATTAAGCATAGTGCTTAGGTCCTCCAGCGATTCTGCCATAAGGACTATTTTTATATGCGAGAGTATTTCTTCTTCTTCAATTGGTTTAACTGTATTTACTCTAGACTTATTATCAATTTCTTCTTCCAATGCATTCTCGTATTCCTTCATTTTGTATAGTTGTTTATAAAACTTGGTAGCATGTTCTATCACATCTTTTCTTGACTTAGTCTCTGCAGAATTGTATTCCAGTTTTTGTATCCATTTCGTTTGAAGAGTTAGTTCCTTGAAGGCTCTCTTAGTGCTTCTAAAGCTATTTACCTAGTCAGGTCTTAAGTATTGTCACACAGTAAAAACTTTTCTTTTAGAATGCTGACCACATAAAAGTTTATTGAATTCGAATTTCGAATTGTTCATGAAAATAAAACTGTATACTTTTTAGAATTTTACTCATTTTTAAATATGGAGTGGACGCTTAAAGAAGACCGTGTTGCAGTTATTGCATTGCATCGTTGCGGTTACGCGCCAATTCAAATTTTTGACATACTGAAATAATGTGAATATAACCAAAAGATTCGTTTATCGTACCATCAAACGATACAATGAAGGCTCGAGTGTAGATGACAGGTCAAGAAGTGGTCGCTCTCGGTCTGTTAGGACTCCAGCAGTGATAAAAGCTGTGAAGGCGCGAATTGAAAGAAATCCCAAACGTAAGCAGAAACTGTTGGCCCTTTAGATGGGGTTAAGCAGAACCACGGTGAAAAGGGTGTTAAATTAAGACTTAGGGCTTCGGGCATATCGAAGAAAAACAGGACATCGTTTGAATGCTCGTCTAATGGACCTGAGACTGAAGAGATGCCGCGCTTTGTTGAAGCGGTACGCGGGAAAAAATATCGGGAAATTCTTTTTTCGGATGAAAAATTTTTACCGTAGAAGAGAGCTACAACAAACAAAATCATAAGGTGTACGCACACAGTAGTGAAGAAGCAAGCAACCGTATTCTGCGTGTCCAACGAGGTCATTTTCCATCCTCGCTCATGGTATGGTTGGGAGTATCTTATTGGGGCTTAACAGAGGTACATTTTTGTGAGAAAGGTGTAAAAACGAATGCAGTTGTGTATCAAAATACAGTCCTGACGAACCTTGTGGAACCTGTTTCTCATACCATGTTCAATAACAGGCACTGGGTATTCCAACAAGATTCGGCGCCAGCTCATAGACCGAAGAGCACACAAGACTGGCTGGCGGCGCGAGAAATCGACTTCATCCGGCACGAAGACTGGCCCTCCTCCAGTCCAGATTTGAATCAGTTAGATTACAAGATATGGCAACACTTGGAGGAAAAGGCGTGCTCAAAGCCTCATCCCAATTTGGAGTCACTCAAGACATCCTTGATTAAGGCAGCCGCCGATATTGACATGGACCTCGTTCGTGCTGCGATAGATGACTGGCCGCGCAGATTGAAGGCCTTTATTCAAAATCACGGAGGTTCTTGTGAATAAAATTTAGTGTCATAAGAATCTATGTTTTATTAAGTTCATTTTGGTATATAAATGGTTAGATAATGAATAAACTTGTTTCAATTATTTTATATTAAACATGTGACAGAATTTATGACCTGACTAGGTATATTTTTTGTTATTATCAGTTCTCTATGTTTAAAGTAGTCGTATTTTATTGATTTATTAGTGATTTTAAAGAGTTTGATAAGTTCCTTTTCTTTGTTTTTATTCTTTGTGTTTATTAATTCTGTGCGTTTCTTAATTAGTTGTTTTGTATGTTCGCTAAGTATTGAATTTCGTTTCTTTTGAGTGACCTTATTATTTTTTAAACTGGATATTATGTTATCTTCAAGTAAGTCATGGAAGATTTGAACATTCTCTGGTATAGTAGTTATATTGATTTCAAGATTGGATTTCAGGCTTTCAGTGTATTTATTAATTTCGTAATCTGTTGTTGGGTTTTTTATTGAATTTTGAAATGTTTTTCTGCTTTTTTTGGTTGGTATAAATGAAATGTTGTTCGTAGTAATCTGTGGTCCGAAGCAAATTTGACTTGATTTAGAACTTCAATGTTACTTACCATGTTAGGTTTATCAGTTAAAATAAAGTCAATTTCATTTTTAATCTTTTCATTTGGTGACATCCAGGTCCAGGTTTTAGTTCTCATATATCTTGATATATATATTCCTTATGTACGTGTGTATGTGACTGAACTCCGGAATGGCTGGACCGATTTTGATGATAGCTTTGTGTGTGTGTGTGTGTGTGTGTGTGTGTGATTAAGTTGATTCGTGAATGGTTTAGATTCACAATTCTGTTACCTACCAGGTGGTGGTGGCGCAGTTGTAAGATTCAGAAATCAACTTTGCGAAGAGATCGCCAATCTAAATATAGTTTTTCATATGGTATTCTATTATATTAATCAATATTAATGTAATACATGGTAGATCCACGCAACAGCTATATTACGACTGCAGTCCAAATGGGTCAGCTCGACCGCCACGCTCATACAGAATGACAGTGTAATGCAGCAACTAGCAGTATACTCGTAATGCTGCTGTACTTCATATGGTTTTATACGAGAACTAAGTGCCCCGTTCAAGGTTAACGAGGCATTTTATCTTAGCTCTCAGGCATATTGGGAATGTTAGATCAATACACAAGATTTGATCTCCTCAAAGTTCAAAAACTTTATTAAACAAATTTTGGATAAAAAGGATTATTAAAATATTAAGGAATTTATGAATTATAATAATATAGTATTGTTAATTGTGTAACATCGATCACTAATAAAAAGCTAGATACACAATCCCATGCAAAATTTCTCTAAAAACTGTCGCCAATCGTTTTGACGTATTACTAGTTGAAATAAATATACATTAATGTAAATTCAACCTTAAATGCATTGCCTAAAGTTGTATTCACAAAGCTAGTACAAATTAAAAGCGCACCCAAATGTTCGAGTGGGCACTCATTCGGTAAGAACATTTTTGTCACTGATAGTGTATTTGTGTAACTTAAGATAATAAGCTATTATTTTTTGTCAAAAAAAAGTTCCGCTGGGTTTCTTGCTGGTTCTTCCCAGGACAGAGGTTTTTTTTTCCGAAGCAGTAATAAATGAAACTAAAGAATAACTTTCAATGAGTAATATTTATAATCAAAATTGAATAAAAAAGTTTCTGTTTTTGTTAGGGTGTGTTAGGTATATGAGAATCAATTATACATCCGTGCCTCTCTCCGTTCTTATTGCATAGGCTATTCCGTTTTTGGGAGGATAGTTAGAATAGAATAGAATAGAATAGAATATAATATTTTTTATTCAATATACATTACATGTGTAATTCTTATTGAAAGTCATTTTTTACTTTACCACTGGTTCGAAAAAAACCCTCTGTCCTGGGAAGGACCAGCAAGAAACCCAGCGGGACTTTTTTTAAAAATAAATTTTACAATATAAATGATTACGAACTATTTACAAAATTTATTTTAGAAACTGCTTGGAAGCGATCACCTCATTCCCAGGGGTTATTATCAACCATGTATTCATTTATACTATAATAACCCTTTTTATACAGTTTCAGCTTAATAAAACATTTAAACTTGGTAATAGAGAGAACCTGTACACTTTCCGGGACCTTGTTGTAATAGCGTATACATTGCCCCAAGAATGAATTACTGACTCTGTAAAGTCGAGAAACTGGTATCACTAGCTTGTGTTTGTTCCTAGTGTTTACAGAATGTATATCACTTCTTTTACTAAAACTATCTTTGTTTTTGTGAACATACATTAAATTTTCGTAAAAATACTGAGAGGCCAAAGTTAATATATTAATTTCTTTAAATTTATCTCTAAGAGACTCTCTCGGTTTTAGATTGTAAATAGCTCTAATGGCCCTCTTCTGTAAAACAAAAATAGTTTCTGAATCAACCGCATTTCCCCATAGCAAAATCTCATAAGACATTATGCTATGAAAATAACTAAAATAAACTAATCTAGCTGTCTCGACACTAGTGAGACCTCTAATCTTTTTTACAGCATAGGCTGCAGAACTTAGTCTGCTTGCTAATTTGGATATATGGGGGCCCCACTGGAGTTGATAATATACAGTTGTTGGATTGATTTTAGTCAACCAGAAAAAATACATTAGTACTAAAATTTTACGTAAAATAAGTTCAAAAACTAAAACACGACTACTAAAAAATCATACTCTCAAAAGTAGATATAGCTCTATAAAATATTCTCATCTAAAATTGTTATGTAACAACAATTTACACATATTTTAATGTATTTAATACGTGTTCATAGTGATGTTCAGTGGATAGCAGTGGTCGTGACGTCACATAGCATATGACCAGTGGACAACCAAGATGACTAAAACGATCCTCATTCGTCAAAATATGAGAATTTTTTTTTATAGTAGGCAAATATCCTTGAGTTAATTCTTATTTTATGTCTTTGTTCTCAGCCCACACTATGCAACGAGAGGGCATGTCTTGGAAGTTTGATGGCGATTCCGGGTCGCGGTGACGTGGCAAGAGACCCTGAAGAGGTGCTTAACGATGCTAAGGACTTTCTTGGACAGTATTTTGCATCTATACGCAGGTAAGATAAAAAATATAATCCACATACTTAAGCAGCGATATTAAAATTTTATAACACTCGTAACTTAGATATGACAGTAAAACGTTTCTGCTTAAACTATTAAATGTTCTCAATTTTTCTTGCTAGAAACCATAAAATAATTAATTAAGAGTGTCAAGGAACGATTTATGTTACTGAAATAAAGTTTTTTTTTTTAAACTTACCGTTTGGTGGCCTCGTCAGGGTGTCCGTCACCCCATCACTACACTACACACGTGGATTTTGTAGAGGCGATTATAGGAAATAGCTGGAAAATCTCATGGAGTTCTATGGATTGTGATATAGCTATCTCGTTTACGCTGATCCAGATCGGTGACAGCAACAGCGTCAAAGATGCAAGACGTCTCGTCCTGCGATCATCAGTGCGCTTGCCATGCGTGACGGTTAAAGCAAATCCTCTGCAACGAAATAGGACCATGAACAGCAGTGGACTTTTACGGACTGCTGAGATTGCAATTGGTGAAATTAAATGTTTTGTAAAAGCGACTTTATTATAAAAAATAATTTCTTGTTGATTGTTTAAAAACCGCTCGACCGATTTTGATAAAATTTTATTGGAACCACCTGGGAAGTATAATCTTTGAAATAAACCAGTTCCAAATCAGTTCAGGAGTCTTCGAGTAATCGGTGAACATACATTAAAAAAAAAGATCCGACAAATTGAGTGCCTCCTCATTTTTTGAAGGCGATTAAAAAAGAGAACCGACATAATCATGAGTGATTTCCGTGACACATAGACATCTACATACATTTAGCCTCGATGAGAAACCAAATTGCAGATGCGTTTGTGCAGACATATTTGCGTGCCTGCGTGCATGCGTGCGAGCGTGCATGCGTGTGTGCGTGTGTGCGTGTGTGCGTGTGTGTGTGCGCATGTGTGTATGTGTTAGACTTGTTAACAAAACTTTTAATGTACTAAATTTATATCACAACTCGTATTTTGTTATTTAGTAAATTTAATTTCAGATCGTTTTAAAATAACCATAAATATTTTCGATTGCCTAGGGCCAATACACCAGCTCATGAAGCAAGATGGAAAGCAGTCCAAGAAGAAGTTGCAAAGACAGGAACGTATCAGTTCACCACCACTGAATTAGTCTTTGGAGCTAAGCTTGCATGGAGAAATGCTAGCAGATGTATCGGCAGAATACAGTGGTCCAAGTTACAGGTATATTTTTATCTAGACCTTAAATATTTGACTTCGCTATTGGGGCGTTTAATTCGACATGCTGTTATACAGGGTTATTTTGCAATAACCGGCCAAATTTGCAGAGAAGGTTGAGAATGAGTAATATAGGCAAATGGTGAAGAAAAATTAATTTGAAAAAATCTCAAACATTCTGTCCTTTTTATCTTTTAAGTTCAAAATGCATAATAATGCATTATTTTAACTGATTTTACTGCGCACTCACAGATTCGGAAGGGTAGATCGGTAGACAAAAACGTTGTTGCCCATAAATCACATTCAATTTGGGATAATTTCAAAGAAAAGTAGAAACCTTATTTACTCGTTATTCCAAAAACTGAAATTCCGGTATATTTTTGAATGAGAATGAATTGAATGAACTTAAGTTTAAAATTTGTCTACTCTTTGAAAAATAACCCTGTATATAATAATAAAATAACAGTTAATATATGTCTTGTTCTTGGGAACAGGTTTCCTTTACAATTTCATAGAACTTTGAAGCAACAAACTCTGTTTTATATGAAATTGAGGAAACAATAGAATCTTAGAGACCACCTGATGACCAGTGGCAACTGAAGCCTATAGTTATCTGCAACCGACTTCAAACAAAGAAGGTCACAGATGCGTTGTCAATTCTGAGGACTAAGATGTTAAACTTCACGTTCTACAATTATACTGGCCATCTATACCCTTCAGGGCGCAAAACTTTTTTTGAGATATTTACTGGCATCGTTTAAAAAGTTAAGGCGAAGGGAAGCTGACTTTTTATTTTTAAAAGACAACCTAAGTACTTTATTTTATTTTTACACTTCTTTACTTTATCTTAAGTAATAATATACACGTTACACAAACGGATTTTAATATTATAGAAAGAAAGTTAAACTGCATTAAATTATCTACTAACATTTAGAAGCTAAACAGCAATACAGTTACCGGTTTCGTTTTGCAGAAATTGAACGTCGAAATTAAGGTGAAGACGGTAACGATGACTAATGGAAAAACTTCAATTTTTTGTTGCAGCAAAAAAGTTATTCCTCGATAGTTTTTCCTCATTAATACCCTTTTACGCTTCCCTTTCTACGCTAAATTACGAAAAACGATAATTACACTTTTGCCTTTAGTTTTATGTTTTCTTACGTACTGAAGATATTTTATTATAAGCGACAGTATTTAATGGTTGGGTGCGGATCTCGAACTCAAGAGGACGTGGGTTAGAATCCTCCATTCGACTACTGTCGTGAACCATTCTTAACACAAACATTTTATGCTTACCAGGAGTGATTAAAGGGAAATAAGAAATGTTAATAGCATTAAAAGTGTTTTAATAATTAAAAAAAAATATTTCATACCGTGGGTTTCGTAAGTATCGACGATGAGAAACTGAAACGCAAGAGAAATCTAAAGGATTCCTATAAACAGGGCCAAAACAAAACTAAAAGGACTTCATATTCATAGTGGCCTTTTACGAGCCAATATAAAGAATAATTCAACCATTTGCTGTCCCGTGCACTACATATAGGTCATTGCTGTTGTCTTACTATTGTGTCCGAAAACCGCACAGTATACTATTTAAATAATGTACGAAATTAATACATAACTTGCTGTTTTACGATAATTTTGTTTTGATGGATATTCGACGTCCTATGGTAAATTGAATGTTTTTATCTCAAATGGCTGATTTATACTACCTTGATGCCTTGAAGAGTACATTAGTAACACATTCCTTAATTATCTGGTTTTGACTAATTTGTTGAAGGATATAGGAATTTAAATATTGCAGTTGACTCCTACACTGTTCTCAAAATATTTTTACAACTAGATTATCCTGCATTGACATAATATACAATACAGCAAAAATACATAATATGTTGCTTAAAAATCGGCGATGGCAGGCATGTGCATACTTATGAGACGTTGCTGCTTGTGTTGGATGGTTTGCTCGGGCTTACAATAATACATCTAGATATAAGCTAAAACAGTTGTTTAGATCAAAATAATAAAATATACGAAAGCCATAAAATTAACGAGCGATACTAGCAAAAAGAATACCAAATAGCGAAGTAAGCGAGCTTATCTCTAACCATGGTAAAAAAAAATCGATTATTTCATGATGAGATCATTTTTATTTCTCATTAATTATCTTGAGAGAGTACAAAAAATAAGAAAATCAAATGGGATATCTGCACTTTATTTTCACTGTTTCTTCTTCGATCAGAAGACCATCAATTTGAAATCATAAAAAATGTTGAACAACAAATAATGATCTTTTCATGTAACATAATTGGAAGTCAGTCAGAATTAAACAAGAGGCCAATTGATTCGTATTGGCCTTCGAATTGGCCTTCGTATTGACGCCAATTGGTTCATAATTTAGGTTACGTTGAGGCTACCTAAAGGGACACACTTTCAAGTACATCGTAAGTACCTTCAACATACATACACCTGCAAAAACTTCTGGGATAGTTATTTTATAATATTGCACAATTAGATTGTATAATGCTACTTGTAGAAGAAAACTTCATGGTTTATTTATATTCAGCCATTATGTTATTGTCTCTAACGTTGAAACAAAAATAATTATCTTCACAGATGTCATCTATTTGTTTAAATACAATGTGTCAATATTAAAACAAGATGTTGAAACAATGTAAGCATATTTTTACTAATTACGTCGTATTATGTATTTACTTAACATTATAGTCTGTTTTGTAAGTTTTTTAAGCAATTGGCGTTAAGAAACTTGATATTAAGTGACGATTTTGAATTGATGTTTTGCTTCACTTTGTCGCTGAGCCCCAAGTTACAACTCTAATCTTGGTGGGATACTTCCCATCTAAAGCGTCGTTATGAATGTTAATGTGGAACAATTTAAATCATGGGGAAGTCTACACGAACAAGAACTTCGGTAGTATTTGTTTTTTCCTCAAGTTGATTGGCCAGACTAGATTAGACTACAGAACGTCACTGCTTTTGGCGCTGCGCTATGATTTACCAGTAGTCAGTACAGAGGTACTCCATTCGTTACTCGGTGGGATCTTATTTGTAGCCTACAAATATTTTCTAACCTAGCTACATAGCTTGTGCAATAAATTACATCATCAAAAGTAAAATAAAACCGTTCACTCAAAGGTTTTTACTATCGCCTTTATTTTATATTTCACTACTGCTATGTTTTATATAATTATAAGAATTCTTATACTCGATGTCGATTTCGATCACCTACATGGCTCAGTACCATGTTTTGTGGCATTTCTTGGGAGAGGCCAATGTTCAGCAGTGGACTTGTGATGGCCTATATGACGACGATGAAGAGTACACGACATTTATCATTTTAAATGTCTCTAAACATTTTTATTTATCTCATTTCTTGTATCAGGCGCATCAAAATTTTATAATTTTTTATTTTACAAATGTTTTTCAAATTATGCCTATTAAATGCACAAAAATTTTAATTGCACTTACAAAAACTTATGTAAAACAATTTCACGTAGTAGGTAGATTATTTTTCCCATAAAGATATCCACCCAAAAGGGTAGAAAATAAATAACTTCTTTTTTAGCAATTTGAAGTCGGTTTTTACTTTTTGTTAAAAGTTATAATTATTTATATTTACAGACATTATCTCAATACTAATTCGTCCCATGTCGGTCTGTGAAGTGATGGCTTAGGACTTATAAGTCCAATATATGTGACTTATAACACAAAGAATATGAGAACTGTTTTACTTGCCTGGCATATCGTAAAAGGCGACTAATGGGATACTGGATTTGTAATTCAATAGGTGGTGGGCTGGTCACCTATCAATCTTTTCACAATTTTCAAACTTAACCCATAATTTGTGGCTAAACGTGGTCTGAGTAGCTAGCTGTTATATGGACTCTGCGCAACCTTGGTATTTCAGGTGTGACGTTATTCTATGATTATTATTTTCGTTTCAAAATAAAAATGTTTGTTGACTCTATTCACATAATTGAGCTACAGTATATTACTTTTTTAAGGTTCCGTGCCCAAAGGGTAACCAACGGGACTCTATTACTAAGCCTCCGCTGTCCATTCTTCCGTCTGTCTGTCAGAGGGCTGTATCTCATGATACTTAATAGGTAGACAGTTGAAATTTTCACAGAACGTGTATTTAAAAAATAATAAAAAGTTAAATGAATTAAAAATTAACGTGTATAACAATGGTACGGAACCCTTCATACGCGAGTCCGACTCGCACTTGGCCGGTTATTTATTATTATTTTGCATTAAAAAATATGTTAAGTTATCTTGTACGAAGAAAAGGGGCGTCGTTTTATTATTAAGCGCATCTATTGCTCAAAGTGGTTTTGCATTTCATTAACTTTGCATCCGATGGAGAATACAAAAAAGGAGCTAAATGTTGTTTCTAATTAGGCAGCTTGATTGAGTTGCGGGCGACATAACGACATTACGAGTAATTTATTCGTTCGCTTCCATTCAGTTTTCTCAGCGGTTGGCAGGGATCAGCGGGATTTAAATCGGTATTACCAGACCACTTTTAAGTCCTTCTGATGTTCACGAGTATTTTCATTATCGCGTTCCTTAAATGGATTGAGGTTAATCAGAATGAGAGATTTAGACTGGTTTATCGTGTTTGGAGAAATTCCTAAAGTGATTCAATTTAAAATCTACTCGTCTATAACAAACTCATGTCATTAAATTAATTAATTTACCATACAAAAAATAAATTGATTTAACTCATAATAACGTTACACTACAAAATGGTATATATGTTATCGCCAATCTATATAATCCGGTATTCTGTAGAATACCTATAACATACAGGCAATGTATAAAATATTATTTATTTCATACTTTACCTAGACATTCTTTACAATACCGAATGTTAAACCGGCATTGTATTGAATAAGAGGTAACGGTATAGTGGGAATGCAAGATATTTATTTATGAAAATGTCGTCCCCGGTCAAGATATGACTAAATCTAATCTAACCTAAAGAAAACTAACCTTTTTTTACGGGGGAAAATCCTCATGGACTGCCTTCGCCTGGGAAAAGGTTTTCTGCACGGGGTAGTGAGGTGTTCAACTACCCCGTGCATCGCCTCAGAGGCGCGCGCCGACACCTGCGCCGCCTCCACCTCGGGTTCATTGAATAGGGGGGGGTGGCTTCCCCAAGTCCCTCGTCCCTGGACCTATTCATGGGGGCTGGAAAAGGGCGTTTTCCGCCCTTCTCCTGCACCCGGTGCGCCTTCTGCGGCCGGAGAAGGGAGTCGAGATCTCGGCATCCAGCTCCCTGTCTATGCGGTACAGGTATTTGCCGAAGCAGCCGCGCCCCGACAGCACTTGCATTACCCTAAACGACAGGGAGCCGTGCCTTCTCCCGAGCCAGTCCTCGAGTACTGGCCGGATCGCCTCGACGGTAGCGAGGCCGGCGGTAAGGCGCAGAAGCCTTTGCCGCCATTCCGCCACCAAGACCTGACGGAGCTCCTCTCGGCGCAGCGCGATCTGCCGCTGCACCGGCCTCGAGCCCCGTGCCCGCTCTTCCTCGCGCCATCGATATAATGACGCGAGTACTTTCGCCTCTAGGTCCCAGGGCGGGGATCCGGCCAGAATGTAACCTTACCTAAACTAACCTAACTAAATTAAGTTTTCATGGTTAATATTGCTTAGTATTATTTTAATTAATTAATACACATTCAGCATAAGCAAATGCTTTTTTATGAATGATTAACATCTAATATTTGTTTGCAACTAATTCCTTTATGTTACCTTTATAAATAATTTATAGTCAAATCTGCCTTTAATTCTTAGTAAAGTTGATTTTCAGTAAAGAAAAATGTTTTATTTGTTCACATTTTATACTTTACCTGATCTTCTCATGGCAATCTATACCTTATCTAGGTATTACATACAGTACTTATTAAAGGTGCGTGATGGTATACGATAGATTACATATTTTATACATTGCCTAAGCAAACCCGGCATTACATGAAACGACTAGGTTCTATACAATGACTTAATTATATGCATTGCCAGTAACATATATAGGTATTATTCTATGAATCCTTCAAGGCCTTCCCCACGGATTGCCTCATTGGAGATATTTGTCATAGCTGTGACGCTTTGTAGGCGGGTCGGTAACCTTTCCTTTTAATAGTTTGAAGTTGTTATCAGAATGATATCTGTTGCTGCCATCTCCTGTTTCAGTTTTCCGCTACTTACGAAACCCACGGGACGATGTGGGGTAGTGGATATTCTTACACCGCCTCCACACGGTAGCGGTGAAACCAACACTCACTATAAAAATATTTTTTGGTGATAAAAGCGATCTGAAGAGTTATCATCCTCTTAAATTGTGAATTTTGTTTAAGGTCTTCGATTGTAGACAGGTGACCACAACCAGCGGAATGTTTGAAGCTCTTTGCAATCATATTAAATATAGCACAAACAAAGGAAATATAAGGTTAGTAAATTGTTTAAAACAATAAAACTGGCAGTTTTAAAATCAATATTTTTTTTTTATTTCAACCACAAAATAATCTTAAGAACCTTTTTAATTAATAAAATACTGCTGAATCTCGAATACTACTAGATCTACTTTTAAAAGAAATTTCACTTTTCGGGTGTTCTTTTTTTTATAGAATAATGGTGACAAACGAGCACACAGTCCACCTGATGGTAAGTGGATGCTATGGTCCAAAGACATCTACATTTATCCTCAATTAAGAATCAAAATGCAGATGCGTTGTCACCCCTGAGGACTGAGATGGAATGCCTCGTTTCCAGTAAAAAGGGTCTCCGGTTCTCTACACTCACCATACGAAACACAGCAACATTAAACTGCTATTTTACGATGGTATTCTGCGAGAGCATGGTCCTACCCCGGACTAGCCGACCCATTCGTGCTACAACCATAATATAGCGGCAGCATAGCTCTACCACCTTCAAAATCAATTTAAGAAAAATAATTGAGCGAAACAAGAATAGCCATTGAAAGATAACAATAAAAGTCTACGTCTTCCTAATGTTTACAAAAACGTAATGAGTATATTCTATGTGATGATTACAATACTTAGGTACCTAAGATTGCAGTTATAAGCAATAATATTCAGAAATAGTATTTTTTTTGAAAATTACCGTTCAGCTTCGATGTTATCAGCATTTTATCTAAACTAATAAATTTTCTTTTAGGTCCGCTATTACAGTATTCCCTCAACGTACGGACGGTAAGCACGACTACAGGATATGGAACAGCCAGTTAATAAGCTATGCCGGCTACAAGCAACCGGATGGCACTGTACTGGGAGATCCAATGCATTGCGAATTCACAGAGGTTAGTTGGCTAAAGATAAAAAAATGTAGCAGCAATAAATATTTTAACAAAGGTGACAAATATTAAACAGAGGTATAAAAGTAAGTAAATATCAAAATTAGAATAGGTTAAGAAATATACAAAAATACTACAATACAGTAAGTCATATATATTCTGACATGTAAGCCACACACAAATAAATCGTTATATGAATATTTTCAATTAAGAAGACCTAGAAGATATTATGTCTTTTGACAGGCTACTATTATCATTAACATCCACTGCTGAATAAAACTATGTAACTACTAACTACGGAGTTCAATGCGTTTAATTCACTTATTTTTAATCACGATTTTTCGGGTGCTTTGCAGCACCCATGGTCGCGGGTGAAACTGAGATGATTAACATCTCGATGTCAAAGTTAACCCGGAGTACCTTCAGCTTTTTAATCATTATTTTTGCGTCAATCTACACAGAATACTGCGATAATATTTGTAAAAATTGTTTTATTCAATTTGTAGTGTATGCGTAAACATAACAAATAATCATCCAGTACTGTACATAGACCTTTCATATTATTAGTCGCTGTCCTTCTATGCGCTTGCCAGTACAAAACTGTCACTCGAGAAGCTTACTTCCCAATTTCCAGATTCGTTTTCATATGTATTCCAGATATCAAATGCTACTTTTCGCTTTTGATTGATTTCTACTCCATCTCAAACATCATCCTAACACATTTTCTACTGACTTCAAAAAGGAGGAGATACTCAATTCGACTGTATGTTTTTATGTGTGTTACCTTATAACTTTTTTCTGGGTGAACCGATTTCGATGATTGCTTTTTCTTGTTTGAAAGCTGGTGCTGCTCATGTGGTCCCATATAAATTTGATCAAGGTCTGACCAATAGTTTGAGTTATTAATAATTTATATTGAAGTCGGTTGTACAACATTTTTAATTTTAAATTATATCAAAAAAATGTCAATGAAAAAGATCAACCCCTTTCTGCTTTATCATCATCATCATCATCATCATTACAGCCTTTCATAAGTCCACTGCTGAACATAGGCCTCCCCCAATAAATGACACAAAGCATGGTCCTAAGCCACCTGCATCCATCGACTTCCTGCATGTCTTACCAGGTCGTCACTCCATCTCTTGGGCGGTCGCCCTACACTTAGCCTACCGGTACGCTACGGTACGAGGCTGCCACTCGAGAACCTTTCTTCCCCATCGATTGTCGGTTCTTCGAGCTATATGGCTGGCCCACTGCCACTTCAGCTTACTAATCCGTTGGGCTATGTCGGTTACTCTGGTTCTACTGCGGATATACTCATTTCTAAGTTTATCACGCAAAGAAACCACGAGCATAGCCCTCTCCATAGCTCGCTGAGCGACCTTGAGCTTCCTCATATGGCCAGCAGTGAAGGACGAACTACGTCTCAGATCCGTAAGTCATCACTGGCAACACGCACTGGTTGTACAATTTCGTTTTAAGGTTTTGAGGTATGTCGGACGAAAAGATGTGTCGTAGTTTCCCGAACGCTGCCCAGCCGAGTTGAATCCGTCGATTGACCTCTCGGTCGAAGTTGGACTTACCTAGTCGGACTATTTGTCCCAGGTAAACATACTCGTCAACAACTTCGAGCTCAGTGCTCCCAACAACTACTGGCATAGGTTTGACATGGACATTAAACATGATCTTTGTTTTGTCCATGTTCATCCTAAGACCTATTCGTTGGGGGACACTATTGAGGTCATTGAGCATGGTGCTTAGGTCCTCCGGCGATTCTGCCATAAGGACTATATCGTCGGCAAATCGAAGGTGAGTGATGTACTCGCCATTGATGTTAATACCGTATCCTTTCCAGTCCAGAAGCTTGAAAACGTCTTCCAATGCAGCGGTGAAGATTTTCGGGGATATAACATCACCCTGTCTTACACCCCTCTACAATTGGATAGGTTTCGTACTCTGGTTCTATACTCGGATAGCCATCGTAGCTCTACTGTACAAACACTTCAGTACTTCGATATACCGACAGTAAACTTGGCACCGCTGAAGGGACTTCAGCACCGCCCGAATTTCGACGGAATCAAAGGCTTTCTCATAGTCCACATACGCCAGACATAGTGGCAAATTGTACTCCTCGGACGTCTGTACAATTTGCCGAAGGGTATGTATGTGGTCCATGGTGCTAAAGCCCTTTCGGAAACCGGCTTGTTCGGGAGGCTGAAAGTCGTCAAGTCTGCGCGCGAGACGATTCGTAATGACTCTCAGAAACAACACGTAGACGCGGCTCAGAAGGGAAATCGCTCTGTAGTTCTTCAAGAGAGCGTTGTTACCTTTCTTGAAGAACAAGACCACCGCACTTCTGCTCCACGCCTCCGGTGTAATGCCACCATCGAGGACGGAATTAAAGAGCTTCTGAAGGACTTCAGGTACCGGTCTTCCACCCACATTCAGAAGCTCCGCTGTAATTCCATTCTCGCCTGGGGCCTTGCCGTTTTTGAGGTGCTGGAGAGCCATTCTAATCTCTCTCAGACTGACGTCCGGGATATCTTCGGAATAGTGTCGGATAAGACTCGCTCTTGGATCGTTACTCACACCTACGTGTGGCTCCAACGATGACGTGTACAGCTGCCCATAGAACCTCTCAATCTCACTCAAAATCTCAGGTGCCCCGGAAACGATACTGCCACACTCGATCTTCAGCTTTGACAGTTGGCTCTTTCTGGCAGACAGATCTCTGGCGAAGACTTTGGAGCCTTGGTTCCGCTCGATCGCTTCTTCAATACAAGCTGTATTGTGGCTCCAACGATGACGTGTACAGCTGCCCACAAGCTGTATTGTGTTCTTCTGCGGCGGGTCTTGCAGAACTTAGCTCCGACCGCATGGACAGTTTCCACGAGCTTGTCATTCATATCGTCCACTTCATTGTAGTCTTCTAGGTACTGAAAACGGTTTTGTAACTCGAGCTGATTGGTTTCGGACTTTGGAACAGAGCACGAGGGGGACGGAGCGTTGACTTCATTAGACGAGACCTCTATAACTTAACGTTTAGGTTCAGTGTGCCTCTAACCATTCGCTGATCGCTACCAGTTTTCACGCTCGCGATCACGGAGACATCACTGAACAGTTGTCGTCTGGTCGTCATAATGAAGTCAATCTCATTTTTTTGGAACCGTCGGGGCTCGACCAGATCCACTTCGAAAGAAGAGTTCCACAGAAGAAAGAGTTCATCATAAAGAGTCCCTCTTTCTCCATGAAGTCGGCCAGCTGCTGGCCCCTTGGGTTCCGTTGCCCTATTCCAAATTTCCCTACTTTCAGCTCACCGTTCTCTCTTGTGCCTAGTTTTGCATTGAAGTCTCCCATTAACACCGTATAGTGGATTTTGGAGGAATTAATGGCTCTAGAGATATCCTCATACATTTCCTCCACCTCCTCGTCGGGGTGTGCCGAGGTTGGTGCGTAAACCTGTATGACCTTCAGCGAATACCGTTTGGTGATTCTGAGTATACGGTACGCATCCCTCGTCGACACACTCTCAATCTTTACAACGTTGTTAACGAGAGACTTGTGGACGATAAATTCGACACCTCCTTGGGACAGATGTTCGCCCTCCTGGTGATATACCAAGCTGCGGGATTCAAGGATTACCGTGTCCTCCCTCTCTCTTCGGACTTCGGATAATCCTATAATATGCTAGCGTAACTTGTCTATCTCTTCTTCCAGCTCCACGATCTTCTCGTCAGTCCTCAGGGTGCGTGCGTTGTATGTTGCCAGGTCGAGTCATCTTAGGTGGCAACCGAACCTCCACCGGAGATTTTTAGCACCCCCTGCCCCGCCGTTACCATGGTCGCCACCGTAGCCGGGAATAGCGGGGAAACCGGGGACTGGGGGCCGTTTCTTTGATACTCTCATTCATAGGGGGGTATTTGCCATAGTTGCCACGCTTAGCGTGCGGGTTGGCAGCAGCAGTTTTATTATTGTAAGTTTGTTGTTATCAGGAAGATGCTGCTGCCCATCTCCTGCCTGTTTCCCTTTGTCACCTTTTACGACACCCACGGGAAGATATGGGGTATTGGATATTCTTAACCGCCACTACATGGCAAATTCTGCTTTATAATAGTACAGAATATAATATTAGTATAGTGGTTGTTAATCAAAATGAGCTTACATTCAACCCGATATTAATTTGCTACATCAAAGTACAGTAAAGAGATAAAAATTACAAACGTTATTATAGCGAAAATGAAAAAGAAAATATTATGGCACTTAGAGCTGGATTTTTCGATCATTAGATTAAATAAATTAACATTAAAAGTTATTCATTGTATAAAATACAACATTTCTGTATATACTCGTAAAATCAATTGCTGCCCGGTAGTCTCGCAAACTAGAAAATGGCTAGACCGATATTGATGAATTTTTTGTGTGTGTTGGAATGCGTTTCTGGATGGTTTAAATTTACAATTGGTCCCGGTAGGTGGCGCTGTTATCGCGGTCCTGATATCACCCGTGCGAAGCTGTGCCGGATCTCTAGTAAAAAAATATAAAATTATAGTTGTATGAAGAAATTAGTTCATTTCACTTTTATATTCAATCAGGCTAATAATTTGATAGATAATATTTATCTAACCATTGACAAATTAAATTAAAATAAATAATTATTTATTGTTAACTGTTACACATTTCAGAAGAGTTGTAAATATGCTGTTGCGCTGAAAATGAAAAATTTCAATTTACTTACTGTAGGCCATTAATCACTCAAAATTGACTATTCGAAATCGGCTGCACCTGGCTCGTTATATTTACAACAACTTCAATCTGCCATTTTGATTTTATGAATATTTATTGGTCTATGAATCTTAAACTATATTACGCTTAACGTTAAAAGCATTTTTGTAAAAACAAATAATTTTGCAATCAGTGGTGTTATGGCGTATAGCTCAAATATGTAATAGTATTTTATTGTTTCAATGCTTATACCATTTGCTATGCAATTGACATTATTCATTCATTCCTTCATTACAGCCCTTCACAAGTCCACAGCTGAACATAGGCCTCTTCCAAAGAACGCCACAAAGCACGGTCCTGAGTCACCTGCATCCATCGACTTGCTGGATCCTTACAAGGTCTTCACTCAATCTAGTGGGGGCCACACACTTCGCTTATCGGTGCGAGGCTGTCACTCGGCACCCTTTCTTTTTCAGCAGTTCAGCAGTGGGCTTGTCAGGTTTTAATGCTGATGATAAAATGCAACAATAATGCAGTATTAATTATAGACAATTAGAATAATAATATAAATAGATAATAATAAAGGGCATTAGAATAGCACAAAATAATTTCATTATTCAATATAAGCCACAAAAATACTTATTAAATGTTAAGTCATCAGTAAGAAATGCGATTATCATTGATTTGAAAAAAATACCTCTGTCTTAGGAAGAACTTGCAAGAAACCCAGCGGTACTTTTTTAAATATTTATTCACAAAATGTTATGTTGTATAATTGCAGCATGATAACTATCACTTGATAGTAACGTCTCAATATGGTAGTCTCTGGTATAAATTTTAACTTTCTCTTCATCTTGCACAATGGACTGCTTAAGAGGTCGTGTCTCTTAAGCATTAACCAGCCAGACATAAATCTTTGTCATAGTATGGTTATTATTATTCCACGATGCAATCAAAATTAAGAAAGCTATAAATTTTTTTAAGTAGTTTGTAGATTTATTTAACAATAAATAAAATTTATTACCGCAAATATATTTCGCCCATTTAGGAAGATCAGGTGCATTCTAACTTAGCTCATAGGTGATTTTACAGTAATCTAAATAGTCAATAATATTGCAGTTGTGTCTCAAACTGGGATGGAAGCCGCCCCGAACCGCCTGGGACATATTGCCTCTGGTGTTGTCTGCTAATGGAAAGGATCCGGACTACTTTGAGATCCCTCGGGACCTTGTCATGGAAATACATATGACCCATCCGACGTAAGTGTTTCGAGGAGTTGTATCTTTTATCGAACTTTATTACGTTTCCGTAACTGAGAAGTTTTTAAAATTGTGTTATACAAAAAAGAAATGTGGATACATTTGCAATATTTTACTTTACATGTTCATTCCTTGCTTGCGTGTTAGAAACATTATTTGTATTGTAGTTATTTTTATCATATAGGCACTGGTAATAAAATAACCCTTTTACTGGTAATGAGGCATTACATTTTTGTATTCAAGGGTGATAACGCTTATCTGATAATAAACCGATGATAGATATGAATGTCTATGGGTCACGGCATTCACTCACCAATGCGTGGACTGCGTGCTTATTTAGCATACTTCTTTTATGAAAATGGATGCCTTTTTGGGAATACTTTTTAGGTATTGTCATCATCTTCTTCATTATCAGTCCATAAAAGTCCACTGCATGTTGGAAGAATTTTTCATTATTAATTCGAGAATTTCAAATCCACGCTTGGATTGGTGATCGTATTTAAACTATAATATTATAACGCCTTGCATCTTTGACCCTCCTCCCCGTCGCCAGACGTGATATTATACATCTAGTATAATTGAGGTGATTATACCGACGTCTTTCGGAAGTCATGGGTAGCCATGGGTCTTAAGACACGCCACCCACGAAATATGGTAATACATTGTCTTACGCCGCCAGCTTAAGGCAAATTAACATTTATATTTATCCAATCACCTTATTTTTCAACCGACTTCATTTAATTAGTTAGGTTGATTAAGGTGTGACCAGTAGTTTTTGAGTTATTTAAGTATAACGTAAAAACTACTGGTCAGACCAATTTATATTGAAGTCAGTTGTAAAAAAATTTTAATTTTACCACATGTTGTCGTATTATTAAAATAACTTGTGATAAACTAGTAACTTAATATAATATAAAACTTTCTATTAAAATTGCTTTATGAAAAATGTAATACGATAAAGTGTAAGAAAGATTATATATTGCAATCATCGTTATCAATATAAGACGTCAACAATGTATTACATGGCTACTTATGAACAACACGTTAACCGCTTTCCATCAAGAATTTATGCCCACATAAAAAGGCGGAGAATGCATGTTGTGCCACGTAGAGGTAAACGTCGCAAAAAGACGACTACAATCCGCCCATACGGAGTAGATTGCTTATCGTAAAACTGTGGTCCAGTGATCGCCAATCTACGTTTATGGTCTATAAATCCAAGCCCATTCAATAATGTATCGCCATTGATAATGTTAACAGGCGTTAATGGGTTATAAAAAGGTGTGATAAATTTGATTGAGAGGGACGATATCTTTCTGGCCAGAAAATACATCGATAATACGGGCATAAAAATTCAATTATAATAACAATGAAATTTTATTAAAAATAGATCCGTTTGTACTATTTTTCTTTGAAATATTATTTATTATTACAGCCTATTAAAGTCCACTGCTAAACATAGGCCTATATTACGGGGTATTATTATTAGTTGCCACGCTTGGTAGGCAAGATGGCAACCGCATTTTTTTTATTTTCTAGTTGTTATTAGGATGACCTGCTCAAAGTTCAAAAACTTTGTTAAACTAAGTTTGTATAAAAAGGGTTATTATAATATTAAGGAATTTCTGGATGATAATAACCCCTGGGAATGAAGTGATCGCTACCAAGCCATTTCTTTTACCATTTGCTATTTCTTTTAAACGTGGTAGAGCCATGCTGCAGCTGCAGTAGTATAGTTGTAGCACGAATGGGTCGGCTCGACCGGGAAAGGACCACGAATACCGACCAGAATACCAGCGTAAAATAGCAGTTTAAGATTGCTGTGTTTAGTATGGTGAGTGTAGAGAACCGGAGACCCTTTTTACTGGAAAAGAGGCATTCTATGTTTAATCCTCACGAGTGACAACGCATCCGCATTTTGATTCGCAAACGAGGATAAATGTAGATGTCTATGGGTTACAGCTACCACTCACCATCAATTGGACTATGTGTTCGTTTGTCACTCGATACTATGAAAATATTCTAATTTGTTGTGTTGTTAATTGTGTAACATACATGATTGTAAGCTGTTATTTAAAAAAAAGTCCCGCTGGATTTCTTGCTGGTTCTTCCCAGGATAGAGTTTTTTTTTCGAACCAGTGGTAATTAAACAAAAGAATACTCCTGCGCATGTCCTGGTTCGTTTCCTTCGGTCACCTCTTACGACACCACAGTTCGATATGGGGTAGTGGCTATTCTTACACTCACATTACACGGTTAAGGATCCTTGTGAGTCAGTTGTATTAACATATCTAAAAAAGTATTTCGAAGCAGATTTATCAATCATAAATATGTTTGTTATTTGCTTGAGATAAATTGTAATATTCTTATTATACCTGAAAGAGAACGGTGTTTATGAACGTTCAGCAAAGACATTCAGAATATAAGAAACAAATTATCAGTATGCGAGAATTGACTTCAATGTAACTAATAGTATTATACTTATACCAAAACACAGCATTTAATCGACGTTTCTTGTAAAGTCTGCTCGGTAAGCAAATTCATGAGAGACAGTCCTTCCGTTATTTTTTTTTTTTTTGAACTTTGACTTCCGTCTTACATATATATCTCTTAATTTGAAAGAACTATGTTCAACATCGACGATTGACCATTTACAAAGATTACAAATATGATGCAGGTCGTTTCGTATCTCACAAATGAGTGATACTTCTGTTAATTTTTTCTAGGCAGTAATTACTCACATTTTTGAACATAAATAATCGCACTAGATTTGCTTTATATTTGAACGTCGATTTTGTAAAATCTCACTTACACAATAAGTAAACAAATAGTCTTTGTTCGGTTCGCTGTGTTGAGTGTTGTTATTGTGTAATGCGAATCGGAAAAATAATATAAACTAAGTTACACCAGAATTTTTACAGAATAAACGCAGTAGCGTCTTAACAGATTTTAATTTGACCTATTAAAACCAAAGTGAGAAGAGTGTCAATAATAGGAAACAAAGATATAAGAGTATCTACATCGTTTTAGTTATTACTTATTTACGAAAAGACTTCAGTCAGATCGACATTATTCAAGCAAGTGATGAGCAATTTCTACTTCATTCAAATGAGTTCAGATATCTTCAGAATTTGTTACAAGGATTTTGAATGTATATTAAAACTCCACATAAAAATACTGCATTCTTCATTAGGATGGCAGAATTGCACTCATAGTTTTATACAAAATAATCACAAATTAATTAATTTTGATTTACTTTTCTTCTTCATCAAGCAACGGTAAAAGTCACTGCTGGACTCTAGCCTCTCCCGTTGTAGGGAATATTTACCATATTCATCATGTTTGCCAGGTGGAATAACGATACCAGTACTAGTCGTCTCGCAACTTGGACGTCTGTCTGAAGTAAACGAAACGATTCCGAGAGAGGCTAATAAGATCTTTCTGACGGTTTCCAATAGTCACCTCTTACGCCGGCCACGCGGCAGTTTTACTCAAAACCACACTCATTTTATATATTTTTTATAGGATAGAGTGACAAACGAGCACACAGTCCACGTGATGGTAAGTGGTTGCTGTGACCCATAGACATCCACATTTATCCTCAATAAAGAATCAAAATGCAGATGCCTGAGGACTAAGATGGAATGCCTCTTTGGCAGTAAAATGGGTCTCCGATTCTCAACACTCACCATACGAAACACAGCGGCGCTAAGCTGGTATCTTAGGCTGGTATTCTGTGCGAGCGTGGTCCTTCCCCGGTCGGGCCGACTCATTCGTGCTATAACTATACTACTAATATAGCTGCAGCATGGCTCTACCACGTCTAAATTATATTTAAGTAGTTTTGTACTATTTTATTAAGAAATATAGATTTTTCTTCATTAGCGGTATCTCCTCGAAATCCACTGCTAGATGCCTTTTTAAGAATAAAATCCTTTAATTAAAATGTTTATCCATATTCATCATGCTTAGCACGCTGAGCAATTTAATAAATGCAAAACCAATACCCTCATACCGGTAATGAAATTAAATTAAATTAAACATAAATTCTGTCTTTTAAAGGAAAATTAAATGCTAAAATAATGTTTCCTATTCTCTGTATGTGATTATGCTGGTCACTGAAGCAATTTTTCCTTAATAAGCAGTGTGCACAGCATGCACGTCGGCGAGATTAGCATTTAGAGAAGTTGTACAGTCTACTTTACTCAAATAGTTAAAGATAAATACGGAAAAGAGGATGTATACTTGTACGTTTTGGACGTGCAGGATTCCTTAAGATATTTCACGCCCAAGCTCTATGTAAATTGCAAAAAATACTGCGTTGCAACAAATTACTTGTTTAACGTAACATCGCTATACGTGAATCATCTATAATTTCCGATTTCGCATTATTAACTCAGCGGTGAATATTTATTGCAGAGCAAGCTCGGAAAACTGTTGCGGAAAAAGTGAGAGAGAAATCTTTCTTCATGTAAAGTAAAAAAATTTTTTACGAAAAAATATTCAGATTTAGACATATACTGGTTGTCCATCAGTGAGAATGAGAAATAGTGTTTTATGCTGTGAATATATTATATTTCCAAAAAAATCACCGTTTGTAACAAATTTTTATTTGCCTGCTCTTTTTACACTTCACCCTGAATATCATATTGATATTTTAACGTGTAGGAATGAGATTATGGTCTTTTCGACCAATTTAATTTTTTCGGATTCGGATCCACTGATCGGCGAATTTTATTTCCTACTAGCTGGTATCCGGCGCGTTGCTGCCGTAGATGAAGTAGTTATGGAAATATTGTTTTAAATTTGGAAGAGTTTAATAGTTTAATAAAGAATGATAATACATTTATTGAAGTTGAATGATACATAACTTTCAAATTAATGGCCTGCTGCTGTCTTTTTGTTTGTTGAAAATAATAAATTCCTTAAAATTTGTTTTATTTAATGTCTAGTAAATCTGAAATCCTTCCAAAACATCAGATATCAAAATATAACTACGCTTCTAAGTAACGAGACATTTTACACTACGATCGCCGTCAACCTCTGACGGCTCCGTGTCTCCGTGGCTTAGCAATGAGTTGCTGCGCTGGGGGCCGCGGGTTCGGATCCCGCACGGAACAAGTATTTGTATGGCCTGCAAATAATTGTTCCGGGTCTGGATGTTTATCCTTGTGCAATTTATGTTTGTAAACTGCCTCCACAATCCTAGTGTGGGGGTAACGTTTTCTAAGAGAAAAAAAAAAAGCCTGACGAAATAGTGTGATGTTTCTTTTTACAATGGGCGATGTTCATGTCCTTTCGTGGATTGCTACGCGCTGATGATGAAAAAAATAAAATGATATCTCAATTTAGAATTTCTTTGCAGATACGAGTGGTTCGAAGAACTGGAACTACGTTGGTATGCCTTACCCGCGGTCTCCAATATGCGATTCGATTGCGGGGGTATCGAGTTCACTGCGAACGCTTTCAACGGCTGGTATATGAGCACTGAAATAGGATGTCGTAACTTTTGCGACAATAATCGTCTTAATATGCTGGAAGTGAGTATCAGTTTAATGCTATCGAAATACAAAGGGGCACCAAGCAGGTATAGCGATCTGCGCTGATAGTTTTTATTCCTGGAGAAATATAATGGAAATTTTGAATTAAAGTATCTCTGTTAGAACTAGATAAATTATTGGAAATAAATATTTCACATTTATTGCTATCAACGGTTATTTGCTGGGTCAAGTTTTAGTTGAGATCTCTTAATTAATATACATAAAAATTCCAATTACTTTAACCGTGGCAAAGCACAAAACGTACAAGGACTAGACATGAATATTTATATGAATATTTAATTTACAAAATAAAAGAAAAGTAAAAGTAAATAAATAAAAGCATAAAAAAATAAAAAAATATTATTGACAGATAGTTGACAAATGTCATGGTCATTGTCATGGTCATTGTCATGGTCATTGTCATGGTCATTGTCATGGTCATTGTCATGGTCATTGTCATGGTCATTGTCATGGTCATCGTCATCGTCATCGTCATTACCATAGTAATCGTCATCATCATCGTCGTCGTCATTGTCGTTGTCGTTATTGTCCTCGTCATGATTCAATCAAAGGTTATCGTCATGGTAATCGTCAAGATTATCATAATTGGTCATCTTCATCGTCATCGTTATGGGCATTGTCATGGTCATCATCATCGCCATGGTCATCGTCATCGTCATCGCCGTTGTCATCACCATCACCATGGTCATGGACATGGTCATCGTCATGGTCATCGCCATGGTACTTGTCATAGTCATCGTCATGTTCATCGTCATGGTTATCGTCATCGTCATGTTCATCGTCATGGTTATCGTCATCGTCATGGTCATCGTCATGATCATCGTCATGGTCATGGTCATCGTTATGGTCATCACCATGGTACTTGTCATAGTCATCATCACGTTCATCGTCATGGTTATCGTCATCGTCATGGCTATCGTCATGGTCATCGCCATGGTACTTGCCATAGTCATCGTCATGTTCATCGTCATAGTTATCGTCATCGTCATGTTCATCGTCATGGTTATCGTCATCGTCATGGTCATCGTCATGATCATCGTCATGGTCATGGTCATCAACATGGTCATCGCCATGGTACTTGTCATAGTCATCGTCATGTTCATCGTCATGGTTATCGTCATCGTCATGGCCATCGTCATGGTACTTGTCATAGTCATCGTCATGCTCATCGTCATGGTTATCACCATCGTCATGGCCATCGTCATGGTTATCGTCATCGTCATGGTCATCGTAATGATCATCGTCATGGTCATGGTCATCGCCATGGTACTTGTCATAGTCATCGTCATGGTCATCGTCATGGTTATCGTCATCGTCATAGCCATCGTCATTGGTCGTTGTCATGATCGTCGCCATGGTAATCGTTATTGTCATTGTCATCGTCATGGTTATCGTCATGGCCATTGTAATCGTCATGGATATCGTCATGGCCATCATCACAAGTAGATGTAGATGGTTTACTTGGTGTTCTCCTTTTTGCCCAAGGATCCGTCTGGATAGCTTCTCTTACCTACTTCTGCCGCCAAATAGTTTATACTTATTACTTGCACTGCAGTGTTCTTGTCCGAAGGGTATCACCTATCGGCTCTTATCTAATTAGCGGTATTTGGGCCAAATAGTCTCTTTCCAGATAAGACAAGACAAAGAAGTTTTGTATGACGCACCGAAAACACCTGGAAGAGTTACTAGTCTATGAAGGATCTTATGAAGAGTGGTCTTCCTTTATCCCTGAAAAGGAAATTCATGGACGTGTGCATACTTCCCATCCTCACCTATGGTGTCCAGACATGGTCTTTGACAGTTCAGCAGAGGTCCACACTTGAGGTTTGTCAAAGAGCAATGGAACGGAGCATTATCGGCATTAAGCTTGTAGACCGGATTAGGAATGACGAAATCCGTTCCAAATCAAAAATTACTGATGTCACACAAAAAGCTGCATACTAAAATGGGACTGGGCTGGACACATCTGCCGAATGCCAAATGAACAATGGGAAAAAGTGACACCTTAATGGGCTCCTATAAGAAGTAGACGTCAGCTGGGCAGATCCAGGCGGAGATGGCGGGATGAACTAGACTCCTTCATGAAGGACTGGTCTATGGTGGCTCTGGAGAGATAGAAGTGGAAAGGGAGTAGAGAGGCCTTTGCCCTGCAGTGGGATATTTTAGGCTAGTAATAATAATAAGTAATAATAACTGCGTAGAATGACTTAAACGGACTCAATCGCGCACGGCACCTACAGTGAACTTTATGCACAAACGAGTGGGTGGTTTCTCGATATACCCAATTCCACCTCGCCACCATTGATATGACGCTGCGCTAGAGTTGCCCACTCTCGGTCCAATATTTCGGATTCGGTATTTTATAGATGCACCGACAAATGTATATATAAACCGTATCTATCTATCTAAGATAACGGAGAAAGAATTTTGTGCGGGTAACGTTATTTAAAACTAAAGAAAATATAAAAGAAAAAAATATATATGCTTACGTTTATACTAAACGTCCACATGATTTATTTCCCTGAATTTTAATTTCAATTATGTTTTATCCCAGGCAAATTATCATTAAAGGAACTTGAATTTAACATTCTAAATTTTAGAGTAAACATTTGTTTCGCGCAAGGAGATGAACAAGCGCAAAGAATTTAAAATTCTTTTCAAGAACGGAAAAACTCGGATTAAATTTCCAACGACTGAGATAAACTTCAATTTACATGAGCTGCATACCAGAGCTGAAATTTAAGGAACTAAGATCTCAGTGATATTTTTATAAGGTTCAGATTTTTAAAATGAAGTTTTGTTTTACTATTTTATTCCATTTGAATGTCATAAGAGACAATTACAGTAAATTCAGAAAGACTTCTTGGCATTCGATAGTTTATATAGTATACCTATACCATCCACTACAGCCACTTTGGTCTAGTGGTCGGTAGCAAAACGAGGCATTCCATCTCAGTTTTCACGGCTGACGACGCATTTGCATTTTGATTCTTAGTCGTAGATAAATGTAGATGTCTATGGGCTGCAGCATCCACTTCCTATTAGGTGGACTGTGATTTTGTTTGTCACCCTTATTCTATAAAAAAAATAGACACAGTTTCGATGAAGAAATAACCTAATCTTTACTATATACAGGGTTAATTTTCAAAGAGTAGCCAATTTTTACAGTAAAAAGATTTGGGAAGAAGTAAAAAGTGTAACACATCTGAATAAGCATAGACTAGAGGCAAACGACTTGCTGGAAAAATACTCCACTCGGATAGAATCTGTTAATGAAGTTAATAAATATTATATTAACGTCGGTGCGAAATTAGCCAAAAAAATCCTAATAAGCAATTACAGTAAACCTGATATAAACCAAACTACGAACAAATCATTTGTTATGCTAGATACTGATCACGATGAGATACATAATCTCATTATGTCATTAAAAAATAGTTGTACTACAGGATGAGATGGTATATCAAGTGATTTACTAAAGACCTACAAAGATATACTTGTTCCCCCGATAACATACCTGTGCAACATTTGTCTTTCTACTGGCATCTTTCCTCGTGCTTTTAAGAAAAGTATTATTCGCCCAATTTACAAAAGTGGTGACAGAGGCATTGTCTCCAATTACCGACCCATATCAATTTTAACATCGCTATCAAAAATTCTGGAACACGTGATCAATAAAAGACTTGTTAACTACCTAGAAACAAACAAGCTTCTTTCGGAGCAACAATATTGTTTTCGTGCAGACAGGTCCACAGATGATGCGGTTCACGAGCTCATAGATCGTATAATTCGGGGAATGGATGACGGTAAAAAGTGCCTTGCAATATTCCTAGACTTAGCGAAGGCGTTAGACACTGTCTGTGTCCCGCTTCTAGTAAATAAGCTTGAGAGACTAGGGTCAGGAATTTGCAGCTAGATCTGTTTATAAGTTACCTTACAGGTAGAACATAGTGTGTTCAAATTGGAGAGCACATCGGCGAGGAAGAAACAATAACGTACGGAATAACATACGCCAAGGCAGTATATTGGGCCCGACCTTATTTTTGATTTACATCAATGATTTGTGTTCATTGAAGGTATCTAGTGGGACTTTCTGTCCTTTGCGGATGATACAGCATTAGTTTTTAGCGGCGATAATTGGAAAGATACGTTTGCTTATGCACAATCTGGATTAAATAGAGTTCTTAAGTGGTTAAATGGGAATCTACTAACGATTAATATCGACAAAATCAAATTTGTTACATTTGCCATACGTAATGTCTCTCTCCATTTAGATAAAAACCTTTCACTCATAGCCCATACCTGCGATCTCGTAAATATATGTAGCTGTACCAGATTAGAAACTGTTACCAAAATTAAATACCTGGGCATAATCATTGACCAGAACTTATCTTTTAGCCCTCATATTGAACAACTTACGGCTCGTGCACGTAAGCTCATATACGTTTTTAGAACACTTCGTCAAATTGCTGACTTCAAAATTATACGCAGCGTTTATTTTGCTCTTTGTCAATCCATATTCTCATATTGTATTTCTGTATGGGGAGGTGCAGCTAAATCCTATTTAAGATCTCTGGAGGTGGCCCAAAGAGCAATCTTAAAGGTTGCAAAGTTTCACCATTTCCCTAATCCGACTAGAGATTTATATAATTAATGGAATGTACTAACAGTTCATCAACTCTTTATACTGTATATTGTCTTAAAACAACATTCTAAAACTTCGTACGACCCTTCGACACAACGCTTAAGGAGAAAAGATATTGTCTGTGTCCACCAAAGATTTAGAACAGCATTTGCAAAGAGAGTTTTTTGTTTTATTGGACCGTTACTATATAATAAGTTAAAGCGTATACTGGCTATATAGCCAAACTGTAAACTGTAAATATACTTTAAATACAGCAAACTGTAAATATACTTTAAAAACATGGTTACTGACGAAAGACTATGATGAAAATGAGGCACTTATCAAAACAATGTGA